TGTGTGTGTGTGTGTGTGTTTGTGTGTGTGCGTGTATACACAGTATATATGAATAACCTCTAGAAACGTCTGTAGTGTGCATAATAAAACAACAATTATTTTTGTAATTATTAAAAATAAATAAAACAATACATAAAGTGAATTTTAAATAATATTATCCCTAAAAATATGCCTGTCAAATCTGTTTCCAGAGTTTTTGTCATCTCCATCAGATTTTATTCATAAATAATCCTCACTAAATAAATGGACAACTTTATCTCTGAGGACTTTTTCCCCTGATGCTGTGGTCATTTTTACTTTCCATCCATCCGTTATCTTTTACCAGCTTCTTCCATTTTGGGTCACGGGGGTCACCGGTGCCCATATCCAGCCATCACTGTGCGAGGGGCGGGGGACACCCTGGACAGGTCTCCAGTCCATCACAGGGACACATAGAGACAAATGAGACAAACAACCATTCACTCTCTCACTCACACCTAGAGACAATTCAGAGTTACCAATCAGCCTAACATGCTTTAGACAAACATACTGTATTGATTTTAAGACTGCGTTGCTGTATTTGCATATATCCCAGCACATCCTTGTTAAAGAGATTAATAATCGCAATGGATTTCTTATAAACGTATAATAATAATACGGTTACAACACCATCTCCTGGTAGGGATGATTTCATTAAAAACATGTGTGGAGTCACTTTGTGTGTTTTAGTGATGTAATGAGGGGGAGAAAGAACAGCTTCTTCCATGAAATGTTGGCAGGCAGATCCAACAAAGTTCAATATGGTCCTCTGGACATTCAAAAAAACAAAAAACAAAACAAAGCAAAAAAAATATAGAAACGTTTCGTCGCTCATCTGAGAGACTTCTTCAGTCTGAGGTGCTGTATTCAGCTCAGTCTCTTAAATAGCACCGTCTCAGAGTGGATCAACCAGTTTGCTGCTGACAACCAAAACCAGCTGATCACATGCTCAAGAAGGACCATCAGCCTAACAATGGATCATTAGCACACTGATGGCTGTTTACTATTCACAGAGGGCTGAGTGATACTAGCAATCACAGCATTGTAAGAGGGGGACAGTTGAACCCGGAGGCCTCCACCCCTGTTTAATGATGGACGATTTCTTTTCACAAAGATGGCCTCCTTTACTCCTCTCTCAAACCATCG